CACCCAATGAAAAAAGCACCTTCAAGGGACTTTAAAAAACGAAAATAAGCACCTTTAAGCCCTTTTTAAAAACGCTACGCACCATATAATAATAATGAAAATCGAAGTGAAGGTTTGTTTCATATTTTTCTGAAACTTTACATGAAACAAAAAGAAACCAATAATTTGAAAATTATGACAAACTTTGTAATCTATTAGTATAATAAAAGCAGAACAATGAATAAAAAAAAACACACACTTGGTCGTTATCAGAACTTAAGCTTTCATAACCATTTATAATAGGAACAAATAAGAATCAAAAGTCACTGGTTATTTACATCCCTTGTAAGTAAATAGTTAAGACTAAACATACCTTTTCTCCATAGTCTGGGTCTAATGGCATCATTTCTTTAAAAGTTTGCAGCACTTTAATGCAAAGTTTTTCCTCTTTTTTCTCCAACAATCTTTCAGTTTGACATATAAGTCTAAACAGCAAATAAATAAACTATGTGAGAACTAATAAAATGTCAAATAACTGATAATGTATTCATAAAAAATTTCACATTAGTAGTAAGCATTTATTGAAGGAAAATGATAAAACAATAGCATTTGGTATAAAAATTCAATAAATCAATTAAAAGTGGTATCTTTACCATTTGCATGTACCAAATTTTTTTGAAAAACATATTTCCTTAAAATTTTTTGGGAAATTTAGTACATTATACAGAGTAATTGAAATATGGAGGCATATTAAATTGAAGAAAGATTTATTTAAGAGATATAATAAATTTCCTGCCCTTAACTTAAAGCAATTTATTTTTTAACATAGACTTGCTATAAGTATGTTATAAATTTTATTACTCTATAACTTAAATTCTATGATTATTGCAAAAATCTTTTTCCTAATATGTTGCCCTTGTATTCAAGAAAAGTAGGGTAATCTTTCTGCTGGTAGTAAATAGAAATAATGAATATTATGTAAAATAGAATTTTGAAAGGCAAGCGTCAGTCTTTTAAAAATATTTAGTCTAGTGTTTGCTTATTTTAGCACTATAACCAAGCATCTAAATTTATTATATTGATATTGAGATTTGTTAATAGCACAGAAACTGTTATTTTTTAAAACTCTTTCTGATTTTTGTGCTGCTAATGATTTATTTTATGTTATTCTCATGTTTGTGANGAATTGCTAAATAAACGAATTGCCCAACGAATTAGATAAATAAACTTTTTTGGTGTAAATCAGTGGTTCCCAACCTGGGGGCGATCGCCCCAAAGGGGGCGATAATCCTTAGGGGGGCGACGAGTATTCAAAAGATAAAAATTCCAATAATATTAATAACAAAAGCTATTTAAGATTGAAATTGAAAATATATATGAAACTTATGGTTCTGGTGTAGACAAAGAATTATGATAGTTAAAAATAAAAATAAAAATCAAGTGCAGGATCGTTTTCGTCATACGTTTTGGTATCGCAGGCGGAAATCTGATAAGCCACTCTGTTCCTCTGAGCAATAATACTGTTTCCAGGCGTATTGATGAGATGGCCGCCGACGTTGAATCAAGACTCATCAAATTTTTGAATGAAGGTAAATTTGCGTTGCAGATTGATCAATCAACTGTGATAGATAACAAAGCTGTTGTAGCTTACGTGAGATTCATAAATGAGAGTGAGGAGATTAACGAGGAAATGTTGTTTACAAGAACTTTGAACACAGATTCAAAAGGATCGTCGATTTTTAAATTGGTCAAGGATTATTTTGAGGAAAAAGAAATTCCCCTCACAAACGTAAGTGCTTGTGCAACCAGATGGTGCTCCAACTTTGTCTGGTTGTCATACTCGAGTTTCTGGGTCACAGTAAAAAAGAAGTACCGGAAGTTATCTCACCATTCATTATGTCATTCATCGTCAACTTTTGGCTGCTAAAAATAGGTTATTTCTGGCATCAGTAAAATAAAAGTTAACTTAAAGCAATTTATTTTTTAACATATACTTGCTATAAGTATGTTATAAATTTTATTACTCTATAACTTAAATTCTATGATTAAAACAATAGCATTTGGTATAAAAATTCAATAAATCAATTAAAAGTGGTATCTTTACCATTTGCATGTACCAAATTTTTTTGAAAAACATATTTCTTTAAAAATTTTTGCGAAATTTAGTACATTATACAGAGTAATTGAAATATGGAGGCGTATTAAATTGAAGAAAGATTTATTTAAGAGATACAATAAATTTCCTGCCCGTAACTTAAAGCAATTTATTTTTTAACATAGACTTGCTATAAGTATGTTATAAATTTTATTACTCTATAACTTAAATTCTATGATTATTGCAAAAATATTTTTCCCAATATGTTACCCTTGTATTCAAGAAAAGTAGGGTAATCTTTCTGCTGGTAGTAAATAGAAATAATGAATATTATGTAAAAAAGAATTTTGAAAAGCAAGCGTCAGTCTTTTTAAAATATTTAGTCTAGTGTTTGCTTATTTTAGTACTATAACCAAGCATCTAAATTTATTATATTGATATTTGTTAATAAGCACAGAAACTGTTATTTTTTAAAACTCTTTCTGACTTTTGCGTTGCTAATGATTTATTTTATGTTATTCTCATGTTTGTGAATAAATTTAATAAATTTTTCACAGGAGTAAAAATTCTGTAGTGAACCTATCAAAAAAATAAACTATCTTCTAATGTAACAGTTCATACAAATGATAATATTTAAAAGAGAACTGTTTAAATAGTTCTTCAGACCGGAAAAAAATTCCATATTGTTTACGCGAAGGAAGCAAAATAAGAAAGGGCAATTAGTTATATATTAAGAAATTCTCTATCCAACTACAAATTACTAAATCATCTTGTTAAACATATAAAAAACTTTAATAAGACTAATTAATGTAAGAAAGAAAACTAAGATACAAAAGTGGCATAAGACTCAATAAGTGATGTGTGTGCATGAGCCATTTTATCATAAGATATTTTTAAAAAAATACTTTTTTTTGTTGTATTTAAATATATATATATACATTACCAAGTACTGAAATGTAATTTATATTATTTTGAAATGAAAAAAGTATATTACAATGAATTATAGATCAACAATAATGCTGTAAAGAAAATTAATATTACTGAAAACAAAGATGTATTGATGCAATTAGACAAGGTATGAAGAAAATTATACTTTTTTTTAAAGAACTCAAAATTTATGGCACCACATTTAAAGGTCTAAATCTACTACCGTGCGAGTAGATTTTAGACTTTTAATTGCTTTTTCGTATTAATTTGTATTAATAACTAAACCTTTAAAAGTCTAACAAAAAAGAAAGCACAAAGAACAATATTTTTTTTAAAAAAGATAAACTAACTTTCGAAGAATTTACTGTACATTTCAATTTAATGTACATTTTTTGTTTTCAAACTTAGTGAATAATTACAAAATTGAACCATTTTATTATAAAATGCTTAACAAAGTCATAATTTATCCTTTCGAGTAGCCATAATTATACAAATTATTACAATATACTAATGACCAAGCCTAGTTGTATAATTTTAAACCATGAATTTTAAAAGGAAGCAAATATATTGTAATATATATTCTTTTAATAAGAAAATATATATTCTTTTAATTGGCGTTACTTCTTGTTTCTTTCTTACAGTAAAAATTTTCAGAACATTTTTCTTTAAACTCAAAATATTGTTTTCAATTAAAAAATAAGGATAAAATAACAAGTATGCTTGAATATTTATATTCAAGCAATATAAATAGAAAACAAGACATTAAAAGTGTAATGCATATCAGTTATATTTAATTTTAAGTTAAAAACATATTGAAATGAATTATTACATACTTTAACAATTGCAAATATATTTTGATAACAGATACAGTGATTAAGAAATACTTTCACTAATAAACTTCTAATTAAAAAAACTATTAAATTTCATTAATGAATTGATAAGCATAATTGATAAGTGATTAAATTCCACCTCGGTGAAAACCAGAGTTTATAATCTTTTATATTGGTTTCCTTTCATAAATATGAGTATAACTGTTTATAAACATTAATATTCAGTATAAAGATATTTCAGATTATAATTTATAAAATATTTATTTATTTTTTATTTTATTTCCAATGACACATAACAATTGAACATCAAAAAGATAACAATTAATCTATAAATAAGAGCAAGCAATTCAGTAGCGTTCCCAGAGAGATTTCCGAGCGAGAGCAGGGCACCTAGACAGGTGAGACAAGTCTATTACCTCGTGGAGGTCACACAATGTACAAAAGGGATCATGAACCACACTGATGCAACATAGATGTTTTTTCAGGTAATCGTGGCCAGTTCTCAGACGAAGCATGGCAACAGATTCCATCCTAGGCCACTGAGGGTCATTGAGAGTCTGTTTAAGCCATGATTTATTGGAATTACGATTTTTGAGTTCCTCGTGAAAAGAGGCCCTGAAGATGTTCTTTATGAGACTTTTGATATTATAGAAAGGGAGTCTGCTATTAGTTCTGTATAGGACAGAGGCTCCCTTTTTCGTCAGGAGATTATAATTAATCGTGCAATTAATTAAAATATTAATTGCACAGGTTAAGCGTGAAGAAAAATACTGAAAATACCCTCACATTTCATACATAGATGTTTTGTAAAAGTTCTAAATCCACCATTTTCAAATTTTTTCCCAGCTTCAGTTCCAGGGGGGAATAAAAGTTCAGGTTGATGCAGAACATCAACTAACACTAATAACTCTGATTGGACTAGTGGATGGAGTTGATCCTCCAAGAGGGACATGATATCCTGAAGATATCAAGCAAATACACAACATTAACATCTGTGTTTAACAAAGTGAGTCTTTAAAATTTCAAACCTTTCAAGACAAATAATTAACATTCCTTTCTAAAAATGTTAATAATTTAAACATAGATTTTTAATAAATTATCATCATAGTTGGCCAGACAGCCCAATGTGAGCCAAGGCCTTCCTCTGAAGATTTCTCCATGACGACTTCCTGATTTTTAACAAATAAAAGAATATAAATCAATCTCAAAAAGAAAGGAAAATATTAAAGAACAGTTGATCATTTAAATAAAAATAAATTACCTAATTAAAAAATATCTTCACTTTCTGATTAAAATAAAATGCCATTTTAACATTAAAAATCATGCGCTGTGAGTAGTCTTTTCGCAATTTAAAATTGTACATCTCAATTCGTATTCACGCAATTTTAAAATCACACTTTGCGTTTTATATCTAAGCAATTTAAAAAGCACACATAGCAATTAGTATTTAGGCAATTATAAAATAACACATTGTTATTTGTATTAACGTGATTTAAAAATATGGAAATGAAGAACACCATATAGGACAAATTCCAAAAGTGATTAAGTTATTTGCCCTAATTTAATACTACTTCTGTCGAAAGACTGTTTTGAAGAATAAATTTGGCCTGCTCAAAATTACAGAGCAGTCTTTAAACAAGATTATTAAATTTTCATTTAATGGCTCGAAAAAGCTATCACATGATCAAGTGAATAAAATTATCCCAATATTTAAAAAATTTTCAAATTACAGGATAACCATTAAGAAATTTTTTAAACAATTTTCTATATACTTACACCATTTCATATCATTCATGATTTACGCTGGGAAATGATTTGTATATCATTAAATTTTAACTGTAAAAAATATAATCAAAATAAGTTTCGTAAAGTAGTGTAAATTTTACTAATTGTTTATGCATATATGTATTAATTGTAAATAGTAAGTGTCATGTTAAAAAAATATTCGCCATAAAAAATTGTAAACAAGTATCTTAATAGTTTTTTATTATTAAGGAAAATAGTTTATTCAAAATTAATGTTTTCTTTCTTTCCTTTTTTTCCCTCTCTTTGCCCCTGTGTCATATCTTTAATTTAAAATAAATGTTTTAAAGTTTAAGTATATTCCCCTACTAAATGCTAAATCTTATTTTCCGCAGAAAGGATTTTGTGTCAATTTTTATCATTTTTAACCCTATAAACTTTCTTTCAATCAAAGTATTTAACTTGCATTTATTTTAATAACTAGAATATTTTTTTTAAAATTTAATTCTATGAACAAATTTTTTAAAGTTAAAATTTATGTTTAAATGGACTTTTGTATTGTGTAATATAATTTTAAAAAAAAAACATGAATTTTCCCAAAGTTTTCAAATTATTTCAATTGATCTAAATTTTTTTCTGATTAACTGATTCTGATTTTCCAATTCTGTTTTTTTTTCTTAAGTAGTCAGTTTAGAAGTGTTAACTTTAAATATTTAAAAATATTTAATTTTATACTAAGATATTACAAGGTTAACTTAGAAAAAGAATTTAGTGGTTAGAACAATGTTTTTATAACAATTACTACCTAAAATTGCTGTGAATATGTCTGCCTAAATACTTTGGGTGTTCCCTTTGGCATGCAGCCCTTCATTGGTCAATCTACTATGCATGTGGCCCTTCACTCAAAAAGGTTGGGCACCCTTATGGTAGACAAATGGAGACCCATCCCCATTAGGCTGATCATAAGAGGAATTTATTATAATTCACAAATAGTAAGATATATAGACTTTTCAAATATTTGCCTAAAGAATTTCATTGCTTTAATATCCATCTAAATTAAAAGACTTTATTGAAAATTGATAAGAACTGATATTTCAAAAATAACAAAAATAAAGGAACATAAAAACATTGAGATAAATAAAAGACTATTTCAGCATGCAAGTGTACAAATCTATATGGGGATTTCAAGAGTAGAGAGTCTCATACATACAACTATAAAAACTTATTCGAAAACAATAGCAGGTGGACATAGCAAAATAGTTTTTAAGACATTAATCAAATTTCTATTCATTTGTACTCAAATAAAAATGAAAACAAACATTTCAAAATTAACAGAACACTATCAGGTACAATGCTTTAACTTCAGTAATAAAACAGATTAAAATTAAACTACTAAAAATGCAAAAAGCATTCTGAAACTCACTTTGTAGAACCATTATAAGGAGGGTTTAAATCTGCATCTGAAAAAAAGCATCAATAAAATGAATGGCAATCAAATTGATTACTGACAAAGGCTCAAACTTTAAAGGATCAGGAAAGAATTTGATAAGTAGAGATACAAGGTTAACAGAAAATAACTAGTTTGGACCCATTGTTTTTTATCTCGATAATTTCATCAAAAATATTTTCTTAATTTACCATAATTAAAGCTACATTATGTTCATTAAATTGCTATAGTAAAGAAATTTTTAGTTTAAACATCTTATTATCAGCAATTGCATATGTAAATACTATTTAAATGTTATACTTCATGATTAAAAGTAGAAGGCAACATTAAGCTTTGGTCCAAATAATAGTAAGTGCTGATAGAAAAATTATTTTTATACTACTAAATGCAAAATTATGTTTAAGAGGACGTCATATTACATGAGAAACTTTTCGTTGCAAATTCTCTTTCATCTCCATAACTAATTTAAAGTGAAGAAAAAGTGGGTTCAGACAAACCTAGAGTAAGCTTCAAACACTGATAATAAAGTATTAAAAGTATCAACACAAAAATTATGAGAAGATAACTTCTGATTACGCAATGGTTTGCTTCCAATAACTTGTTTGCATTTTGAAATTTAAATATAAAAACATTTCAGCGATTTAAACTTGATAACTTACTCTAGGTTAGTCTGAACTCACTTTTTCTTCACTTTAAATTAGTTATGGAGATGAAAGAGAACTTTCAATGAAAAGTTTCCTTAAGGGTATGGCATACTCTAAAATAATTTTTCGAAACAAAATATAAATGCAGGAAAAATGTATATACCCAAAACAATAAGTTTAATGTTAGTGAAAAGAGAAAATCTGGCATTCCATGAAAACTAAATTAATTTTTTAATTAAAATTTAAAATTCTTCAAATAAGCGATGTGTAAATTTGTATTCATTAATGCAATGGTTTAAATTTCAGTTTTTAAAAACTTTTTACTAACTTCTATTTTACTTCATTTCTCAAAACATGCAGTGGTTAATCGTAGAAATAATTAAATAGAATTAGTTAGGCAAAGAAATTTATACCAATCATTTATTTTTTCACTACAGTATGTTTTAATACTTATACCACGTTCCTGTTTTTTTTTTTTTTTTTTTTAAAGCTTCGCATTGCTTTAAAAATAATTATATTATCCATAAAAACTTTTTTTTAAAAAACAGATGAGACCAAAATTAATGTTAATGTACCATAAAACATTATAAAAAGAAGAAAATAATAATTTATAGAAAGTAAAAATAAGGAGATGCAATCTTTAATGCTTAATTATAAACGGAATCTTTTCCCTCCAATGAGAAAAAATACTTTTAAGAATACATCACCTTAATAACTAATTTAAATTAAAGAATAAGTGGGTTCAGACAAACCTAGAGTAAGCCATAAAGTTTCAAACACTGGTAATAAAGTATTAAAAGTATCAACATGAAAATTATGACAAGATAACTTCTGATTACGCAATGGTTTGCTTCCAATAATTTGTTTGCATTTTGAAATTTAAATAAAACAAAAATTTCAGCGATTTAAACTTGATAACTTACTCTAGGTTAGTCTGAACTCACTTTTTCTTCACTTTAAATTAGTTATGGAGATGAAATAGAACTTTCAGTGAAAAGTTTCCTTAAGGGTATGACATACTCTAAAATCATTTTTCGAAACAAAATATCAATGCAGGAAAAATGTATATACCCAAAACAATAAGTTTAATGTTAGTGAAAAGAGAAAATCTGGCATTCCATGAAAACTAAATTAATTTTTGAATTAAAATTTAAAATGTTTCAAATAAGTGATGTGTAAATTTGTATTCATTAATGTAATGGTTTAAATTTCAGTTTTTAAAAACTTTTTACTAACTTCTATTTTACTTCATTTCTCAAAACATGCAGTGGTTAATCGTAGAAATAATTAAATAGAATTAGTTAGGCAAAGAAATTTATACCAATCATTTATTTTTTCACTACAGTATGTTTTAATACTTATACCACATTCCTGTTTGTTTTTTTTTAAAGCTTCGCATTGCTCTAAAAATAATTATATTATCCATAAAAACCTTTTTTTAAAAAACAGGTGGGACCAAAATTAATGTTAATGTACCATAAAACATTACAAAAAGAAGAAAACAATAATTTATAGAAAGTAAAAATAATGAGATGCAATCGTAATGCTTAATTATAAACGGAATCTTTTCCCTTCATTGAGAAAAAATACTTTTAAGAATACATTTTAAGTTAGAATTTAATTTGAGTCTATTTTAATAATCCTTTAAAGAAAACACTATCATATGATCATTTGTAATTTCAGAAACATAATACCATGTGTGGACAGTTGTTTTATTTTTTACTCTGAGTTATGCACATATGTGTAGGTATTAACCTTGAACTGGTAGATGGCTTTATGATTTTAAAGAGTGCAGAGATCTTGGAATTTTGTTTGTCATTCTGATGGTCTATGTACCTGCATCTTCCTTATTAAATCTTTTTGTGAACCTCTGGTACTTGTTTTTCTTACATGTGGACCTGCAATGAAAAAATCAGGTAGATATTTACTCATTAAGATAGGGGTGCACAACCTGCGGCCCGCGGGCCAAATGCAGCCCGTCAACCCTCAATGTGCGGCCTGCTACCGCTATCTGAGCAAAATGAAAAAAAAAATTTACATTTTTTTTTAAATAAAAAAAAATTCGAAAATTTGAAATTTACGCATTTAAGTTTTTGACGCACCCAATTTCACTCAATGTAGTTTACGAATTACGAATCGCGAATATTATTACGAATCGCGATTAAATAATCGCTCATTTAGATAACCATTTTTTGACGTGGTTTATTTGTGCCAATTTTATTGCAAATCAAATTATTTTTCAATCGTAATTTTGGCAATTATTGTTACACACATCTACAAGGTTTTGAAAGTCCGATATTTTTTATACACTATTTTGATACTTTAATTTCGCATTTAAATACATAAAATTTTGACGCATTTTATTTACACCAATTTCACCGCAAATATAAAGGTATTTTGATAATTTCCTTTGTAGTTATTACTGCGCTTTTTACCCGTGATTTAAAAAAAATTGACATTTTTCATATAATTTGACAGCACGCGAGTTTTGAATCGCGCATTAAAATAATTACTTTTTATGCACTGTATTTGTGTCGATTTTTACATAAATATAAGAGGTTTTTCGAACGTCTTTTTACTTGCAATTTAGAATATCCTGATATTTTAGCACAATATAATTTGATTTCATAGTAAAGTCGAATGAATTAATAAAAATCACTCGCATACCATAATTAAAAGAAATATGAAAAAAACAGTTCCTTACCCACAAGCTGATTACAGAATACATAGAAAATTAAACTCAACCTGCTCTTCATCAGTCATTAAAAGTAGGAGCACTCATCCTAATTCGGAACTACATTTATTAGAAAAGCTAATGTCGTAAATTTATTTCAGAAAGACTAAATAACTAGAATCTTATATCTGAAAGAGATCAGATTTTTGTTTTGCTGAGTAGGCTTGCAGCTGCATATGTCTGTGCGATTTAAAACAAGCTTTGAACTTTCAAATCTTTGTGTAGACGTAGTAGCTAGAGGTGGCGCAACTAGGTTGGGACTTTATTTACGTTGTACTAGAGCTGCACGATGTGCTATTGACAACGAACTAGTAGGAAACATCCCTGAGGATGATGCGAAGACAAGACTTTAACTAATGATTTTGATATATTGTTGCTGTTGTAGTTCATTTACGTCGCACTAGAGCAGCACAATGGGCTATTGGCGACGGTCTAGGAAACATCCCTGAGGATGATCCGAAGACATGCCATCACAATTTTGATCCTCTGCAGAGGGGATGGCACCCCCGCTTCGGTAGCCCGACGACCTGCACGCGAAATCGAGTACTTTACTGTAGCACAGTTTAAGGAGGACCAAAACCGCACACCCTCGGTTTCTGCGCAAACTGATCTAAATGGTCACCCACCCGCACACTGACCGCAGCCAGTGATGTTTGACTTCGGTGATCTGCTGGGAACCGTGTCTTAACCATCAGTCCGCTGCGGGACGATTTTGATATACAACTACAACAAAAAAAAAATCTAAAATCGTCATAGAAAACAAGTAAGCTAAAAGTGTGAAAATATTTTCGCACAATCTTTCGAAATTGGTTTTAAGCCAACAATTTTTTTAATTGCAGCATTTGAATTTGCCTTTAAAAATAACCAAAACAATGTTTTTAAATTAATGATTTATTGGAATTACGATTTTTGAGTTTCTCGTGAAAAAGAGGCCCTGAAGATGTTCTTTATGAGACCTTTGATATTATAGAAAGGGAGTCTTCAATTAGTTCTGTGTAGGACAGAGGCTCCCTTTTTCGCCAGGAGATTGTAATTAATCGTGCAATTAAAATATTAATTGCACAGGTTAAATGTGAAGAAAAATACTGAAAATACCCTCACATTTCATACATAGATGTTTTGTAAAAGTTCTAAATCCACCACATGAATCCACCATTTTCACATTTTTTGCCAGCATTTTCACATTTTTTTTCCAGGAGGGAATAAAAGTTCAGGTTGATGCAGAACATCAACTAACACTAATAACTCTGATTGAACTAGTGGATGGAGTTGATCCTCCAAGAGGGACATGATATCCTGAAGATATCAAGCAAATGCACAACATTAACATCTGTGTTTAACAAAGTGAGTCCTTAAAGTTTCAAACCTTACAAGACAAATAATTAACATTCTTTTCTAAAAATGTTAATGATTTAAACATAGATTTTTAATAAATTATCACCATAGTTGGCCAGACAGCCCTGCCTTCCTTTGAAGATTTCTCCATGACAATTTCCTGATTTTTAACAAATAAAAGAATATAAATCAATCTCAAAAAGAAAGGAAAATATTAAAGAACAGTTGATCATAAAAAAAATTCCAAGGTCTAAGAATGGATTCAATTTAACACATATCAAATACCCACAAATTGTTTAAAAAAAATTTAGATTGATAGAAAATTTTTCCAAATGAACATTTACAAAAGGAAAGTATTAACTACTCCATTTTCAATTACAGTAATACATGAATGAGTTTATATCCTTACAGATAATCCCCAGTTCAATTCTCCCAGTCATAGCTACATTTCTTATACATTTTAATGTTCTTTTAATGATAATGAAGACTTATAAGCACAGTAGACAATCTGGTAGACTAGGGGTGCATAACCTGCGGCCCGCCAACCCTCAATGTGCGGCCGTGGCCGCAATCTGAACAAAACGAAAAAGAAAAAAAAATTTTAAATAAAAAATTTTTTGGAAATTTCAAATTTGCGCATTAAGTTTTTGATGCACCCAATTTCACTCAATGTAGTTTTCGATCATTTTTTTTTTCGATGGCTACCTCTACAGATTTAGGCATAGTTTTGAAAATCTCATTATTTTTAACACATCATTATTACGATATACGAATTTCTAATTTAAGTTATTACTTTTGACGTTCTTCGTGTGCTCCAATTTCATTGTAAATCCAATGACTTTCCGGTAGTTATTGCTGCCAATTTTCACGTACTTTCTGAAATTGCGATTTTTAGAAGTTATGAAACGCTGTATCTGTGCAAACTCCATGAAAAATCTAATCGACTTTTTATCCTTTTTCGGCAGCCCTTTTTCGGCAGCTGGAGCTACGCATTTCCGCATGTTTTTTTACACTTTTATATTTTAGCACGATATTATTATGAATCGCGATTAAATATTCGCTCATTTAGGTAACCATTTTTTGACGTGGTTTATTTGTGCCGAATTTATTGCAAATAAAATTATTTTTCACTCGTTATTTTGGCAATTATTGTTACACATTTCTACAAGGTTTTGAAAATCCAATATTTTTTATACGCTATTTTGATACTTTAATTTTGCATTTAAATGCATAAAATTTTGACGCGTTTTATTTACACCAATTTCACCGTAAATATAAAGGGATTTTGATAATTTCCTTGGTAGTTATTACTATGTTTTTTACCCACGATTTAAAGAAATTCTGATATTTTTCATACTATAATTTGACAGCACGCGAGTTTTGAATAGCGCATTAAAATAATTACTTTTTACGTGTTGTATTTGTGTCGATTTTTACATAAATATAAGAGGTTTTTTAAATGTTTTTTTTTCTCTTTCCAATTATTGCTACATTTTTACTTCTGATATCCGGATATTTTAGCACAATATTACAACTCTTAAAATTCGATACTGTTTACATTTTTTTTTCTTGAAATTTAAAAAGTTATTACTTATCAACAAAATCGATCCCTTCCGGAAAAGAATTCAAAAAAAATAAATAAAAAAAAACATAATGTGTACATTTAAATTAAAGGCGTTCCCTTTTGCTAAAAAATAATTCAAAACACATGTATATTTCTTTAGTCCCATGAACAAATGCAAGTTTAACATCACACACCCAACCTATATACTTTTTTTTTGTTTTGTTACATGATTTAAAAATCACATGTCGAGTTTCGTATTTACAAGTTTTAATTCTTCTCGTAATTTAAAATTCACACATCGTAATTCGTACTTATGCGATCTTTAAACTGCGCATCGCATTTCGTATTAACAATAACGAGATTTAAAAATTATCCATCGCTATTCATTTTCATGCGATTTAAAAACCATATATCGCGATTCACACATTTTAAAAATCATGCGCTGCGAGTAGTCTTTTCGCAATTTAAAATTGTACATCTCAATTCGTATTAACGCAATTTTAAAATCACACATTGCGTTTTATATCTAAGCAATTTAAAAAGCACACATAGAAATTAGTATTTAGGCAATTACAAAATAACACATTGTTATTTGTATTAACGTGATTTAAAAATATGGAAATGAAGAACACCATATGGGACAAATTCCAAAAGTGATTAAGTTATTTGCCCTAATTTAATACTACTTCAGTCGAAAGATTGTTTTCCAGAATAAATTTAGCCTGCTCAAAATTACAGAGCAGTCTTTAAACAAAATTATTAAATTTTCATTTAATGGCTCTAGAAAGCTATCACATGATCAAGTGAATAAAATTATCACAATATTTAAAAAAAATTTCAAATTACAGGATAACCACTAAGAAATTTTTTAAACCATTTTCTATATATATTCAAAATTAATGTTTTCTTCCTTTCTCTTTTTTCCCCACTCTTTGCCCCTGAGTCATATCATTATTTTAAAATAAATGTTTTAAAGTTTAAGTATATTCCCCTACTAAATGCTAAATCTTATTTTCCGAAGAAGGGATTTTGTGTCAATTTTTATCATTTTTAACCCTATAAACTTTCTTTCAATCAAAGTATTTAACTTACATTTATTTTAATAACTAAAATATTTTTTTTAAAATTTAATTCTATGAACAAATTTTTTAAAGTTAAAATTTATGTTTAAATGGACTTTTGTATTGTGTAATATGATTCTAAAAAAACATGAATTTTCCCAAAGTTTTTAAATTATTTCAATTTATCTAAATTTTTTTCTGATTAACTGATTTTCGGATTCTGTTTTTTTCTTAAGTAATCAGTTTAGAAGTTTTAACTTTAAACATTTAAAAGTATTTAATTTTATACTAAGATATTACAAGGTTAACTTAGAAAAAGAATTTAGTGGTTAGAACAATGTTTTTATAACAATTACTACCTAAAATTGCTGTGATTATGTCTGCCTAAATACTTTGGGTGTTCCCTTTGGCATGCGACCCTTCATTGGTCAATCTGCTATGCATGTGGCCCTTCACTCAAAAAGGTTGGGCACCCTTATGGTAGACAAATGGAGACCCATCCCCATTAGGCTGATCATAAGAGGAATTTATTATAATTCACAATTAGTAAGATATATAGACTTTTCAACTATTTGCCTAAAGAATTTCATTACTTTAATATCCATCTAAATTAAAAGACTTTATTGAAAATTGATAAGGACTAATATTTCAAAAATAACAAAAATAAAGGAACATAAAAATATCGAGATAAATAAAAGACTATTTCAGCATGCAACTGTACAAATCTATATGGGGATTTCAAGAGTAGAGAGTCTCATTCATACAACTATAAAAACTTATTCGAAAACAATAGCAGGTGGACACGGCAAAATAGTTTTTAAGACATTAATCGAATTTCTATTCATTTGTACTCAAATAAAAATGAAAACAAACATTTCAAAATTAACAGAACACTATCAGGTACAGTACAGAACCCGTTATCCGGAAATCAGAAAACCGGAAAACCAAAAAACCGGAACGAAATTCGATAAATTTTCCCGCTATTTAAAAAAATTTTTTTATAAGATTTTAGGATTTTTCTTTCTTTTTTGAAAGATGTTTACCTTACCATCATTTTAGAAATAATCATTAGTGTATTACTTCATCGTTTTTTCTTCTTTTTAAGATTATTTCTAAATATTTTTCTATTTTTAGTTGGGTTTAACAATAAAAAAACGGCTTTTTGTAGCGATTCAGAAAACCGGAAAAATCAGTTATCCGGAATAGCGATGGTCCCGATCNAAAGAAGAAAATAATAATTTATAGAAAGTAAAAATAATGAGATGCAATCATAATGCTTAATTATAAACGGAATCTTCTCCCTTCAATGAGAAAAAATACTTTTAAGAATACATTTTAAGTTAGAATTTAATTTGAGTCTATTTTAATAATCCTTTAAAGAAAACACTATCATATGATCATTTGTAATTTCAGAAAAATAATACCATGTGTGGACAGTTGTTTTATTTTTTACTCTGAGTTATGCACATATGTGTAGGTATTAACCTTGAACTGGTAGATGGCTTTATGATTTTAAAGAGTGCAGAGATCTTGGAATTTCGTTTGCCATTTTGATTGTCTATGTACCTGCATCTTCCTTATTAAATCTTTTTGTGAACCTCTGGTACTTGTTTCTCTTATATGTGGACCTGCAATGAAAAAATCAGGTAGATATTTACTCATTAAGATATATTTGGAGCTGGCCACATGCAGCAATTATTCCTTAAAGAAACCTCCCAATCATATAATCATTTGTTCTTCCCAAAAAAATAAAACAGTAACTTTACCAGCTTCATGAAGTCAAAATTCGCAATAGCCAGAAAAAGAGAATTAATTGTTTAATTCAGTAATATGTTTCTACCTTTAGAGTTGTTTTCTAAAACTAATCTTTACGGAATCAAGGGCTTTTTCAATAGCTGGAACACTCAAATAACATTTGGAATTACGTGGTTAAGGTAAGATTTTAATAACCAGTTACCAGGATAATGACAAATTCGCCATTTTATGGCATATAACATTACCTTAATTTAATATTTTGGCCTAAGACGTTTATATTCTGCAGAAAACAACAGGATTTCTTAAAATTACTCAGATAAATCTATGTAGTTTATGTTATTAATGACTTCAAGAAGCCAGGAAAATGACAGCATAAAAACCTACTCATAATGAAAAATAGACTATGAATCAGAAAATTGGTTCATGCAACAAGACATGTTCATATAGGAGGGTATACATATTCAGAGCATTAAAATAAAACTTACACTTTCAGGCAAACTGCAGCCATTTTGGAGGCAGGTGTTTTTGTAAGCTTTTGGCAAAATGTGTGAATAAGTGGTTGAGTCTCACTTTGTAGAACCAGGATCAGGAGGGTTTAAAGTACATTCTGCATCTGAAAAAAAGACTCAGCATCAATAAAATGAAAGACAATCAAATTGATCACTGACATAGGCTCAAACTTTAAAGGCTATCAGGAAATAATTTGACAAGTAGAAATACAAGGTTAACAGAAAATAATTGGATTGGATCCATTGTTTTTTATCTGGATAATTTCTTCAAAAATATTTTCTTAATTTATCATAATTAAAGCTATATTATGTTCATTAAATTGTCATTATAAAGAAATTTTTAGCTTAANCATATGTAAATACTATTTAAATGTTATGCGTGTATACTTCATGATTAAAAGTAGAAGGCAACATTAAGCTTTGGTCCAAACAATAGTAAGTGCTGATAGAAAAATTATTTTTATACTACTAAATGCAAAATTATGTTTAAGAGGACGTCATATTGCATGAGAAACTTTTCGTTGCAAATTCTCTTTCACCTTAATGACTAATTTAAAGTGAAGAAAAAGTGGGTTCAGACAAAGCCATAAAGTTTCAAACACTGATAATAAAGTATTAAAAGTATCAACATAAAAATTATGAGAAGATAACTTCTGATTACGCAATGGTTTGCTTCCAATAATTTGTTTGCATTTTGAAATTTAAATATAAAAAAATCTTTATGGAATCAAGCGCTTTTTCAATAGCTGGAACATTCAAATAACAATTGGAATTACATGGTTAAGGTAAGATTTTAATAACCAGTTTTACTATAACATGATAAAAAGGAGGTTTTTAGTGGTAAAAAAAAAGAGGAAAACAATGAAAAACTGTCAAAAATTAGCAGCCCATACTTTATTTACATGTTTACTACTTATAGCTGATACAAGTAAATAATATATATATTTTATAGTTAATACTTGGCAGTAATGAATAATATATGAATAAAAAAAAAAATTAAGGACTAAGGATGTACTTAAACATGCTCATTAAAAATATTATTTCAAACATGTTTGTGACCAAAATTATTGTTTTCTTACTATGTTATCATAGACTCACTTTAATAAAAACTTCAAATAATAAGAGCAATTTTTTAATATTAACCAAGACTGCTTTTTTTCTTGTTTAGTACCTTATCCTGTAGCTTATTATAGAAAATTATTAATTTCCGACAATTGTCCCTAACTGAAAATAGCCAATTTGTAGGGAATAACCCATGTACCATATACAAGCAAACTAATCAATAGATGCATGATTACAAAACTAATTGTTTACAATTTTTTTTCACAGCTGATCCAGTTTTTTTTTTAATAAATTTAGTTTTAATACTTTATGCACTTAATTTTTATGAATTAAAGCAAAATTTAGTTAAAACGATAGTTTTATAAAAAAAATTTTGATGGACCAGTCAAATGATATGAGTGTCATTTGACATGTAACTATATCATTTACTATAAAAAAAATAACAGTAAGCTTCGTTACAATTGTTTCAAACGATTCACATTCTTTCGACTATAATATGAAATCAAATTAATATTATAATTTGATTTCATATTAAAGTCGAATGAATTAATAAAAATCACTCGCATACCATAATTAAAAGAAATATGAAAAAAACAGTTCCTTACCCACATGCTGATTACAGAATACATAAAATATTAAACTCAACCTGCTCTTCATCAATCATTAAAAGTAGGAGCACTCATCCTAATTCGGAACTACATTTATTAGAAAAGTTAATGTCGTAAATTTATTTCAGAAAGACTAAATAACTAGAATCTTATATCAAAAAGAGATCAGACTTTTGTTTTGCTGAGTATGCTTGCAGCTGCATATGTCTATGCGGTTTAAAACAAGCTTTGAACTTTCAAATCTTTGTGTAGACGTAGTAGCTACAGGTGGCGCAAGTAGGTTGGTACTTTATTTACGTTGTGTTGTACTAGAGCTGCACGATGTGCTATTGACAACGAACTGGGAAACATCCCTGAGGATGATGCGAAGACAAGCCATCGCGATTTTGATCCTCTGCAGAGGGGATGGCACCCCCGCTTCGGTAGCCAGGCAACCAACACGCAAAGTCGAGCAATCTGCGGTAGAACAGTTTAACGAGGACCAATGATAAAGAAAATTAATATTACTGAAAACAAGGATGTATTGATGCAATTAGACAAGGTAAGAAGAAAATTATACTTTTCTTAAAGAACTCAAAATTTATGGCACCACATATAAAGGTCTAAATTTACTACCTTGCAAGTAGATTTTAACTTTTTAATTCCTTTTTCGTATTAATTTGCATTCATAACTAAACCTTTAAAAGTCTAACAAAAAAGAAAGCACAAGGAACAATATTTTTTTTAAAAAAGATGAACTAACTTTCGAAGATTTACTGTACATTTCAATTTAATGTAAATTTTTTGTTTTCAAACTTAGTGAATAATTACAAAATTGAACCATTTTATTATAAAATGCTTAACAAAATCATAATTTATCCTTTCAAGTAGCCATAATTATACAAATTATTACAATATACTAATGATCAAGCCTAGTTGTATAATTTTAAACCATGAATTTTAAAAGGAAGCAAATATATTGTGATATATATTCTTTTAATAAGAAAATATATATTCCTTTAATTGGCATTACTTCTTGTTTCTTTCTTACAGTAAAAATTTTCAGAACATTTTTCTTTAAACTCAAAATATTGTTTTCAATTAAAAACTAAGGATAAAATAACAAGTATGCTCAAATATTTATATTCAAGCAATATAAATAGAAAACAAGACATTAAAAAGTGTAATACATATCAGTTATATTTAATTTTAAGTTAAAAACATATTTAAATGAATTATTACATATTTTAACAATTGCAAATATATTTAGATAACAGATACAGTGATTAAGAAATACTTTTACTAAGAAACTTTTAATTAAAATAAAAACTATTAAATTTCATTAACGAATTGATAAGCATAATTGATAAATGATTGAATTCCACCTCGGTGAAAACCTGAGTTTATAATCTTTTACATAGGTTTCCTTTTATAAATATGAGTATAACTGTTTATAAACATTAATATTCAGTATAAAGATATTTCAGATAATAATTTATAAAATATTTATTTATTTTTTATTTTATTTCCAATGGCACACAACAATTGAACATCAAAAAGATAGCAATAAATCTATAAATAAGAGCAAGCAATTCAGTAGCGTTCCCAGAGAGATTTCCGAGCGAGAGCAGGGCACTTAGACAGGTGATACAAGTCTATTACCTCGTGGAGGTCACACAATGTACAAAAGGGATCATGCGACACAATGATGCGACATAGATGTTTTTTCAGGTAATCGTGGCCAGTTCTCAAACGAAACACGGCAACAGATTCCATCCTAGGCCACTGAGGGACATTGAGAATCCGTTTAAGCCATGATTTATTGGAATTACGATTTTTGAGTTCCTCGTGAAAAGAGGCCCTGAAGATGTTCTTTATGAGACCTTTGATATTATAGAAAGGGAGTCTTCAATTAGTTCTGTGTAGGACAGAGGCTCCCTTTTTCGCCAGGAGATTGTAATTAATCGTGCAATTAATTAAAATATTAATTGCACAGGTTAAATGTGATGAAAAATACAGAAAATACCCTCACATTTCATACATAGATGTTTTGTAAAAGTTCTAAATCCAACACATGAATCCATCATTTTCACATTTTTTGCCAGCTTCAGTTCCAGGAGAGAATAAAAGTTCAGGTTAATGCAGAACATCAACTAACACTAATAACTCTGATTGGACTAGTGGATGGAGTTGATCCTCCAAGAGGGACATAATATCCTGAAGATATCAAGCAAATACACAACATTAACATCTGTGTTTAACAAAGTGAGTCCTTAAAGTTTCAAACCTTACAAGACAAATAATTAACATTCTTTTCTAAAAATGTTAATAATTTAAACATAGATTTTTAATAAATTATCACCATAGTTGGCCAGACAGCCCTATGTGAGCCAATGCCTTCCTTTGAAGATTTCTCCATGACAATTTCCTGATTTTTTAACAAATAAAAGAATATAAATCAATCTCAAAAAGAAAGGAAAATATTAAAGAACAGTTGATCATAAAAAAAATTCCAAGGTCTAAGAATGGATTCAATTTAACACATATCAAATACCCACAAATTGTTTAAAAAAAATTTAGATTGA